TGGAGACTGGAGCTGTTCCTATTCGGCCATCTTGCTCCGCCCCTGGTTCTTGTTAATTAACTTGAATGAACTTCACCAGCCTTCCAATTGCTTTTGCTTGGAGAAGTTCTTCCATTTGCCTTTTCTTGCAGAAATTCTGGAGCCATTTTTTATGCTCAGTGTTATATCACAATTGTGGTTTATTGTTTTTGTACAAAGCCTGGTCAAAATGTTTAATTTCTCCAGAATACATGAGGATATATTATACTTTTTACTAAATAAGGATTTATAACATTGGTGATTCCTTAACATCAAAGCAGTGGTAGAATCTCCAAAAAAAAGTCAAAATCAAAACACAAAAATTATTCCTAGCGGTCATATTCAGAGCAGAACAATTTAGGTTTTCTTCTTGAATTTAGAAAAAAGGAGTAAGATGTGTCATGGAGTGAGGAATGTATCTCCCTGAATGAGCGACAGCCCATTTAAAGAAGTAAAAGAAAATTCGAAATAATGAACTCTAACTCTGTGTAGAGAAACTATCTGTTTATATTTTTCCTAGATCTGTAAGGTGGCATGATCACAAGTCCCTTAAACTTGCATTGTATACCAATAAACATAAATAACATACCACAAATAAATGCACCCCTCATTGCATGTCATAGTGCTTCATTCTGTGGGGATATTCAGACCAGAATGATGAGGGTCTTGTTCACGCAGAGACTGAGTGACATGGAGACTAAGAGCCAAATCTCTGATTCAAAGAAAACTGGTTTCTAAGTTGTATTCTTCCCTTCCAAGTTCTCTGACCTAAGGCAGGATTTTTCTTGTTTCTTTGTTTTGCCTCACCAAGCCTCGAAGTGCTCACTCAACATGGAACTAATATCAGAACCCCATAGTGTTGTGAAGATTAAGTTATATATGCAGGAAATGCATTTACAGTAATTAAATATTAGTTGGCCTTCTAATCCTAATTATTATAATTATAAAATATTCCATGAGCTTCAATTTAAAAGAAGACACAGACAGAAATGAATAAGTGTTAATAAAATGTTACAAGTACAACAGGAGTAGAAGTGTGGGGGAAGAGATATCAGCTATGCATAAGAGAAGATGGGATGTAAATTTTGAATTATGTTTACTGATTATGTGGGATTCAGATTGATAGTCATAAGCTACGTAAAATAGAACTTTCCAGAAGTGAGAAATGCTCTGTGATAAGGTTCAGATAGGCAGGGAAATGGAGGGCTACAGAGAAACGCAGGAGGTATAGAGTGACTGTGGTAGTGAGTGTGAGTCCTAGAAACAGGTAAAGGGAGACACAATGCACACCTTAAAAACATAGGATATGAGATTAAAAAAGTAAGGTTCCAAAATTTAGATAATCTAGCAGGAAACATAGATTATAGAATGACAAGATCAACTCTATGTTTAGACAAATAACTCAAATGGCGATGAGTAGATTATATTCTAAGTTAGAACTGGACTGAAGACATGAAAACACTTAAGAAGGTAGTCAGAAATTAGAGAAAGATATTAGGAGCTTGAATTTGGGCAATAAATGAGAGGGATGTATTACTATAAGTCTCAATGTTTTCCACAAAAATAAAACCCCTCCATAACTCCAACCATTGATAGACTTGAAGTAACTTAAGTGAATTAGTAAAATAACAGTAGTAAAACTTTTGTTAAACACAATGTTCGATACAGTAACATAGGATTTCGTCCTGTGCAAAGTCATGTATATATTTTACAAATCATAGCTGAAGCCTGATATCCCAATTTCCATTTTATATGTTGCATGTTGTCTCTACCCTGTTGTCATTGTCTCCCTGCCTTTATGTAAATAATTTGTTTAAGTACAAATAACTTTGATAACTTTATTTAAATAATTTTATTAATTGGTATGTATACACGAATGTAAACTGTTCCTATATTCTTCTTCAGATTATTTGATCTCAATATTTTTATTGAAATCAGCAAAATCATAACTTAGATAAGGTCTCCCTGAATAGTTTTATTAAAGGATGTTAGGATAAAATGGACTCCAGATGGCAATTACAATAAATGTGCACATTCTGAAAATGAGCCAACAGGTAGAGAAACACATAACCACTACTTTAGCGTGTGAGTTTTGCTTGTTACTTTTCAGCCCATCAGCAAAATTGTATATACCAAAGATACATTTTTATACACCATATGCACACACACACACACATATATAAAAAACTCTGAAAACTTTTGATTGGATACTCTAAGGCCGTGCTGTCCAACACTGTAGACACTGACGCCATGTGACTACTGGGCATTTCAAATGTGTTTTGCCCACGCTGTACTGCACTCTAGTATAAAATAAACACAAGACTTTGAAGACTTGGAATGAAAACAAAGTAAAAGCACATTAATTATTTTGTGTTGTTACATGTAGAAATTATGTCAATATATGAGTATAAGCATTATTACATTAATGGTAATATATGTACAGACATACTATAATATATTGCATATAACATACTGACAATGTATACTATGTAATTAACATCTATGTTGTTAAAATTAATATTAATTATAGCATTGTTTTGAATTAAATATATTATTTAAATTTATTTGACTGCTTAAATGTACCTATTAGAAAATTTTAAATTATGTTGTATTTCTATAGGACAACCCTGCTCTAGGGTGTTCAAATCAACTTGGAAAGAGGAAATACGAAGGGAGTAGGGAAGGCCATGATTATTCTTTCAGGAAAGAGAATATCCCAAACACTCTTGTCATGGCCCCCAGGACTTCCTTATTCCTCAGGCTGTAGATAATGGGATTAAGCATAGGGGTAAGGATGGTGTAGAAGACTGCCAGGATCTTGTCTTCAGCTGGTGAGCGGAGATTCCTTGGCCGAAGATAGGTGTGGACAAAAGGTGCATAGTAAAAGATCACAACAGTTAAATGTGTCGAAATGGTACTTAAGGCCTTTTTTCTTCCCTCCTTTGAGTGCATATGATAGACAGCAAATAGGACTCGGCCGTAAGAAGCAGTGATGCCAATGAAAGGAAAGAGCAGATAGAGGCTTGTACTTACAAAAACCATATATTCATAGACCCAAGTATCTGTACAGGCAATAAGCAACATGGCTGGGACATCGCAGAAGAAATGGTCAATGGCCCTAGTCCTGCAGTAGGGAATATGGAGGGCATAGACTGTGTGTGCCAAGGAGTTGATGGAACCCAGTGTCCAAGAGCCTCCAATCATCTTCATACACATCATTTTACTCATGCGGAGGGGGTAATGCAGAGGATGGCAGATGGCCACATAACGGTCGTAGGCCATGGAGGTCAGGAGTAAGCCTTCAGAACCTGCCATGGTGAGGAAGAAGAAGCTTTGCACACCACATCCCAGGAAGGAGATGCCTTTCTGGCCAGAGAGGAAGTTGTACGCCATCTTGGGGACGGTGGTGGAGATGTACATCAGGTCCATGAAGGAGAGCTGGCTGAGAAGAAAGTACATGGGTGTGTGGAGACGAGGATCCACGTGGATGAGGTGAATCATGGCCGAGTTACCCACCGAGGCCAGAAAGAATATGAGGATGATAAGGCACAAGAGGAATATACCAGTTTGATTTGGGGGAAGCAGACCCAACAAAATGAAATCATTTGAAGTGTGATTCCATTTCTCCATGAAAACTTTCTGCTGTAACTGTGTCAAAAGAGAAATAGAAACAAAAGCAAAGCAGAAAACATGAAATGAAACACAACAGAAAAACAAAAAGGAACTGAGTTTATCAATGTTTGTTTAGAATGAGTTGTTTCTCCACTAACACTGCAGGTTTTGTTGACTCAATTTTCATATCTGAATGGAATGTTCCCTACCCAATTGTTTCTGGTAAGCATCTCAGGAAGTCACAGATACATGTGAGGTCTTTCAGTAGAAAGTCTAGCCCTGTAGGCGGCAAGATAAAGAAGATAATTAAAGCATTCCTTTCTAGATAACTCCTCGCCAGTTATTGGGGGAACCACCCCCAATAATTCAACATAGCTTCTTTTCTATTTTCCCTAAGTGTCAGCTGGTCTGAGAAATAAAGGGAAAGAGTACAAAAGAGAGAAATTTTAAAGCTGGGTGTCCGGGGAGACACCACATGTCGGCAGGTTGTGTGATGCCCCTCAAGCCACAAAACCAGCAAGTTTTTATTAGTGATTTTCAAAGGGAAGAGAGTGTACAAATAGGGTGTGGGTCACAGAGATCACATGCTTCACAAGGCAATAAAATATCACAAAGCAAATGGGGGCAGAGCGAGATCACAGGACTGGGGCGAAATTAAAATTGCTAATGAAGTTTTGGGCACGCACTGTCATTGATAACATCTTATCAGGAGACAGGGTTTGAGAGCAGACAACCTGTCTGACTAAAATTTACTAGGCAGGAATTTCCTTGTCCGAATAGGCCTGGGAGCGCTACAGGAGACCGGGGCTTATTTCATCCCTTATCTGCAACCATAAAAGACAGACGTACCTAGAGTGGACATTTTAGAGACCTCCCCCTAGGAACGCATTCTCTTTCTCAGGGCTGTTCCTTGCTGAGAAAAAGAATTCAGTGATATTTCTCCTATTCACTTTTGTAAGAAGAGAAATGTGGCTCTGTTCCGCCCGGCTCTCAGGCATTCAGACCTAATGGTTATCTCCCTTGTTCCCTGAACATCGCTGTTATCCTGTTCTTTTTTCAAGGTGTGTCCATATTTCATATTGTTTAAACACACAGGCTTTATGAACAATTTGTGCAGTTAACACAATCATCACAGGATCCTGAGGTGACATACATCCTCAGCTTACAAAGATGATGGGATTAAGAAATTAAAGACAGGCATAGGAAATCACAAGAGTATTGACTGGGGAAATGATAAATGTCCATGAAATCTTCACAATTTATGTTCAGAGATTGCATTAAAGACAGGTGTAAGAAATTATAAAAGTATTAATTTGGGGAACTGATAAATGTCCATGAAATCTTTACAATTTATGTTCTTCTGCAATGGCTTCAGCTGGTCCCTCTGTTCGGGGTCCCTGACTTTCCGCAACAACCAGTCACATCACTTATGAGTTATCGGCAAGTCACAGGAACTGAGGAAGGCAGGAATACCTACATTCCCCAATGTTTTTATCTAATAGGGCATAATTACAATAGAAACTGGCATGTATGACTCAGAAACTTTCTATATGCTTAAATTATAAGTACTGAATTACCTAACCCTCTTCTTCATCTTTAATTTCTGGTCATTCCTCCCCAGCTGACACTATTCCAGCAAGATAAATCTCAATCCTCTCCTTGATACTCTGCTTTTCATGTTCCTGACAGGCACTTCTGTGCCTTTCCTGAAAATGTACCCACAATGCAAATCGCTCCTTGAACTATAAAGGTTTTGTAAGTCTGATAAGATTCACATTAATTTTAAAATATTATTTAAATATTCTCTCTTCCCTAATAAGGTTTTCAGATGTTGAAGACCTACAGAACTCAATATCAAATGCATGGATATTCGCATACAATATTCTTTCCTTCATGTAAGTAAATTATACATAGTAAACCTCACAGATTGCATAGTGGGTTTATTTTATTTTTTTTTAATTGTATTTGCCACAGCTGGAAGCAAAAAGTAGTATAATGGAAATATAACAGATCAGTAAATTATATAAAAAATATATATATATATACACACACATATACACATGTATGTGTGTATGTACATATCTACCTATCCATTGTCTATTTATCTATACTATATATAGGAGTCTTTGAGGTACCATAAATTATTTCAACTCTTCTTCACGTTATTTATTACAACCTTTCCACAACATAAATTCTGTGAATTTAGGCATTTTATCTTCAGTTTTCAAGTATTTAAAGTCGTATTTATAGATGTAAATAATAACCTTCTCAAATACTGTTAGTGATAGAATCACATTTTGATCCTGTGTAGCAGCTTCAAATTTTCAGTCATTTCAGTACCCCCAATTTAGTAATTATTTGGTAAATGCCTTCCTGTGTGTAAAACACTTCAGTCAACTTAAATTCTGTAATTATTGCTGTGCTGCAAAAGATCAAGCCTACTTAAATTTTCAGACTTGTTTGAAGCATACGGAGATTAGAGAGGATGTTCGCTCTTTGTTCTTGTAGTCTGATTTTCAGTACCATAGGTGACAGTAGAGTCAAGCACCTGCAAATCTATTCAACTGGAAAAGCCAGTGTGAGTAGGAGGACATTTGTGATTTATGACTTAAGTATGTCTTCCTTTCTGAATTCCTTTACTTAATCCAGGTTTAAATCCAGGGGAAGAAATGTGGCAGCAGGATCCCATGAGGTGTGTCCAATACCAAGCCCTGAACAGGCTGACTTGGGTCTAAGTTTATGTGTTCCATCCTGGAGTTGTTTTGAAGGCAGACATTTTGATTCTTTCTTGCATAGACCACAGCCTCCGAGTATGCTAAAGATTGTTTTATGGCACTTACTACAATAACGATTTTGTTTCCAAAAATGGAAAGGTGGCATGTTGTTGGGCAATGGAAGAGAATAGCTACTTTTAGGATCCTGTGAATCTGAAACTTGAAACTTTTAGGTCATGAAATATTGGAGTTTGAGTTTAGGATCTGTTTCCATTGATGTCCAGCAGCTTTCCTTGTTAGACATGGGACCTTATTTAATGCACCAGAATTACATGAAGCATCACTCTGTTGGTTACATTATTGCTGGGTAAATATTGTTCCTGTAGCTACCAGGTGAGTCTAAGATTAGTGACTGCCTTGGTCATTCTTGTTGATTTAAAGAATGGCACTGAGACAAATTAATATAGAAAGTGCATCTGGGCCAAGTTTGAGGGCTGCAGCCCAGAAACACTTCCTTGGGAAGTACCCTGGAGAACAAAGAAGAGACCCAAGTTTCTAAGGTAAAGAAAGGGAGGAATCAGGAGACGGGACAAATTCTAAACTTGTTAGTCAGAAAGTCTCACTGATTTCAGAAACAACGTTGATCAGTGATTGGTTATGCATTATTTAACTATAGGATATGTGGTATAGGCATTGATAGGTTAATTCATGGCTAGTGGACACAAGTCAGTCTGCAGCCCCCATAGCACGTAGCTTCAGAAGATGATTACCTCGCTCAAGGAAGAGTGAGATGTGACTGCAGCCACATTTCAATGTCTCTCTGGGCCTGATAGTTTAAAGGGGGCTTGCATTCCTCAGGAAAAAGAATTTTTTTCTTTCTCATTCTAAAAGATACATTGATGAAATTTATAGAGTTAAAAAAAAGCCCTCATTTCATAGGAACTAATAGCGTAAATGTAGCAACTGTAGGGTCTTGAATTTATTTTGCAAATGTTATGAATAGTTAACTCATAACACTTTTAAAACTCCTTTAGAGAATCAGCAGGAGACCAATAGCATATTGTCATAGACTCAGCTACCTCAACGGCAACAATGTATAGGGCAGCTGTAAAGAGAATTCAGAGTTCTGCGTGTTCAGCACATAGCAGGTCCTTAGTGTCACTGTAATTTGTCCAGTCCCTGTGTAAACTATGGAGAGTCCTCAGACCCAGAGAAATTGTCTTTATTAATGTCACATTGTTTGAGAGCTACACATAGTGCAACACTAACAAGTACATGTTACCTTGTTTTGCATTTTTACATTTACATTTGCTTTTCCAATTTGTTGTGGAACTGTCTATTCCCTGTGCAGCAGAGAGTTTCCTTATGATGGGAAAACAACATTTCCAAAATAGCTTTCTAGGTTAAAACAAACCCAAATCAACTCATACAAATTCTATTACCATGACTCACCTTGTCCAAAGTTCTTCAGTTTGTATAGTGGGAGAAAAAGCAGCTTTATAGTGACACCATCCTCTGCTAACATTCCATATATTACAGAAAACATGTAAACATCAAACTGTGTTCTGATAAGTCTATCAGACTTTCAATAACATTATGTCACTGATCAATAGTCCCTGCATTAAACCAGAACTCTTTCTGAAATGAGAATCTCTTCTTTATGTGCCAGAATTTATGAGGAAGAAATAGCAGATAACACTTTATAATATTCGTTCCTTACAGCTGCTGCAGCTAGTCATCCTCTTTACGGTGAAATCAGAAAACAACTTCACCAACTCTTGTGAAATATTTTTCTGTTTGCATAAGTAGTGCTTAGATAAGACCTCTTCCTTTTCTATTACCTCGTTTCAGTGAAAACAGAATAAGACATTTTATACTTAATTTCCTCAGGTTCTACCGTCAGAAGACGGAAGGATCAACTGCTGTACTTCATATGTAGAACCTTAATTCACTAACCCTTAGATATTCCTCTTTCTCCTCTAATTGATCTCCAGTGTCCAAGTCCATGGGGGCCAAAACCTTGGTCACTTCACTTCACTTCGCTGATTTCAGAATCAACTCAGTTCTGAATTAGGGCAAATCAACCAACCCAATCAACTTTGCTGCATTCAGCTGTTACTAGGAATCAGACTGAAGAGGGGTGTATTTAATATTCCAGAACATGACCTCAGAACTGTAAGAGATGTTAAGTTATGTTTATGGAAATTATCTCATTTTGTAAGTTAGAGAATTCTTTTTTTACTCAGAATATTTAGCACCTGCTTTTTGTAAGTTAGAGAATAATTGGCTAAATAATTTAAGAAA